ATATTCTTTTTTTTGCCAATTTTTTAAAAACTAAAACAATGAACTGTGAAGGCTTATGTGTTTTTTTTTATTATTGTGGAGTAATTGAGGATTCTACTTTGAAGAAATAAAGCATAAAGTTAAATGAATATAATTTACTCTGTGTATTAGTACTAGTATCCACATATTTGCAAAGGAATTGACAGGAAAACTGCTAAAACTAGTCGTTTTTTGCTGTGGGTATAACATCCTATAAAATTCAGTTTTATGTCAGTTTTGGTCAAAGCTTGAAAGAGCCGCATGTGGCTCCAGAGCCGCAGGTTGCCGACCCCTGGTCTAAAATCATATGGCAGCTATTTTGTGGTACCTTTACTTTTAAACAAGCACATTAAGTTAAAATATGTCACAGAGCCCCCCCGCTTACACAGAACTAACACTTGTGCATGTTTTGAAGCCACCATTTTTCCATCAATGGTAGTTTGGTACCTTAAAAAGAGCTACATGCTATTAAAACTTATATATTTGACCATTAGAGGAATGGTTTAAAACCTCAAGCCCTAAAACCAACGAGTCCGATACGAGGTTGGACAAATAAAAAAGCATTTGGACACAGATTGTGTTATCTGCAGTGATGCACTTTACCATATCTGAAAATGACAAATAAGTGAATTCAACACACGGTGGTGCACCAGTTTCTGTCCTCTGCTCTTTGTCGTGCTGAAGGTTTGATCAGCCTGACTGAGGATGATGTAAGAAACGCTCATCAGCAGTGAACCAAAAACAAAAAAAAGAAACGTGCTGTTCTCTCAGCTTGGAGTCAAGGAGAACAGGTTTGGTCGAGGCTCTGTTAGGACTTATACGAGCCTTTAAACATGAAGAATACAAAAACAAGGAACAAGACTGAAAAAATTGTTTTCTTTTTGAAGTTTTTCGGAGTTTAATTGAAGAAAAATTGCAGATAGAAAATAGCTTTAAGAGACATCTGTGCAAAAAAAAATCTGTCATGAACAAGATGGATATCTGCAGTCTGAAAAATAAGTTCCTCTCCCCTAATAGAAAGTAATTATTTCACTGATTTTGCTTGAATTCATTTCAATAGGAAGCGCATTACAGTAGTCCGTTGCGGTTTCGCAAACTCGCTCTATCGCGGTTTTTCAAAGTAAGAGTGGACATGACACACAATTGGATGATTGATGGATGAGCCGCATGATCAGCATGGAATTTTTATTTAAAATAAATTATTTTAAAATTATTTAACACCTTGTGCACCTGTGTGCAGCCCACAGCTGCAGGAGAAGCTTCCTCCTGCAGCATGTCAGATCTCAGCTCTGAGGCGGAGAAGTGGGCGTGGCCGAGAGCGCTGGCAGGTGGCAGAGTGCAGCCGGAGGCAGAGAGCTGAAATCATGACATGCTGTGCTCTTTTAGAGCATTTAGAGTTTAGAAACATAGTTAGGGACATTGCAAGAGCGTGGGAAGGGGTTAAAATGCCTTTATATTTATCTGTACATAAATACTAAATTAAATTACTACTTATTACTACAATAAATACTAAATTAAACTAATACTAACTATTACAGTAAATACTAAATTAAATTACTACTTACCACTACAGTAAATACCAAATTAAACTACTACGTAGTACTACAGTAAATACCAAATTAAACTACTACTTACTACTACAGTAAATACTAAAGTATTACTTACTACTACAGTAAACACTGAATAAACTACTACCTACTACTACAGTAAATACTAAATTAAACTACTACC